TTTTTTTTTTTCGAGACAGGGTTTTTTTGTGTAGCTTTGTGCCTTTCCCGGAACTCACTTGGTAGCCCAGGCTGGCCTCGAACTCACAGAGATCCGCCTGGCTCTGCCTCCTGAGTGCTGGGATTAAAGGCGTGTGCCACCACTGCCCGGCCTATCCTTCTCAGTTCTTAAACTTTCTGTCCCCTATCATCTATCTCCAGTACCCATGGGCATAGGAGAGGGAAAGTAGGAAAGAGTAAGAGAGAGTAAGAGAGAGAAGAGAGAGAGAGGGAGGGAGAAGAGCTTCTGCAGGCAAATAGAGTTAACTGTCCACTCCCTCTGCTTTTGGAATTAGCTTGTCTTTTGAATCCTCTAGTACAAACAAATGTGCTATTCAGGAAATATAGCCAAAGCCTGGGGACAAGTTCCTTCTGGTACAAGGAGCTGGCTATTTCTCTTATGATTGATTCCTTTAAAGGAAAGAGGTCTGAAGTAGTGAGCAGGAAGAATTGAAGTAGGATGTTAAGAAGAACTTCTTTACTTGGAAATCAAAATAGTTGTGAAGTTTCCTTCTTTTTATGCCTCCAATCACCTGGGAGTCAGGTGATGGGTTATGCTTGGCTGGGCTGGCCACCCCTGTTAGGTGGTTTTGATTTCATGCATAGCCTGGGTTTCTGGCAGTTGTTGATGTTGAGGCTGAGTGCTCCATTCTGTCAGGAGCTTGTCTAGATCATATCATCTGGACAGTTTGATCTTTAGGCTTAGCTTTCCTGGGAAAATAGGCAGGTGGGTAGAGGAAGGGGATGACCTGGAGGAAGGCCAAGGGAAAATGAGACCTGTCAACTATCCCTTTCTTCCTTCAGCACCACAGGTAATTTACTATGTTCCTGATCTGCTTGGCCTTGTAGCCACAGGCAGGTGGGTCTAAGGGATTTAAATAAAGGGCTAAGCAGAATGTGGCTTCTGTATTGGTACTGTACACAAGGTGTGCTGCTATAACATCTGTGGGGCCTTTGCAAAAAGATGTGCTTAAGCAGAAACAAAACAAACCTTCAAAAGAGGTCTAAGTATTTGGGATTGGAGTCAGGATTTGTGTTACATCCTGAGAACCCAATTCTAAGTACAACAAGGGATCTGGGTATCAATGAGTCAATCTTTATTGAATGATTTGTATATGCTCAGCCTTATGTGAAACACTAGGAAGATGAAGAAAAGTGCAAAGATCTGGTTACAGTAAAGGAAGTGGTGGAAAAACATAATTCTGTTAGTCACTAGGGTTGATGCTTTACCCATATGGTCTGATATAAGTATCATTGTCCCATTTGTACAGATGAGAATCCTGGGGCTCAAAGAGGTTAAACCTTTTAGACACAGTGACTAAGTGATGGTGGTAAGATTTGAGGCGAGATCTGTGCCACTCCCAAAATGCCTTCTCCCTTCACTACACCATAGGATTTTCAAAACTTAGAATCAGTTTGGGGAGAAGCCACATGGTTTTGTTTATCCTCTTAAAAGTCAGTTAACATCAAGTGCTGTGTATGGTCAATGCTTAGTTCGTGGGACAAGAAAGGAAGGAGAATGGGTTTGGACTGAATCAGGGAGGCCTATGAGACTTGACTTGAGCTTGAGGGATTCATATGATTTAGATGTAAACAGAGAAGAGGAAATGATATTAGAGAGCGCACCTGACCAAAGCATGAAAGAAAGGAAGTGGTAGTTAGAGACAAGTGAATAAATAACCTTAGCTGCATTATTTAAATGAAGCATTTGGGAAAATAAAGTTGAATGCCAAAGTGTGTGTGTATATATTCACATGGGCTTGTGCATTTGTGCATGTGGGCATGTGTACATGTGCTTATGGAAGCCAGAGATTGACCAGGTGTTCTCAATTTTTCCCCATCTTGTTTTTTGAGACAGGGTCTTTCATTGAACTGGGAGCTCATTGATTTGGTTAGGCTGACTGACCAATGAAATCCAGGATCTGCCTGTTTCTTTGCTCTAGACCCAGAGCTAGGATTATAAATGTACACCACTATGCACAGTTTTTTCCTTTTTATGAGGGTGCTAGGATTCAAACCCAGTGCTTACGCTTATGCAATAAGCGCTTTATTGGGAGTCATCTCCATGGCTCCTTAAAGCATTTTCCTCCACTGCAGGCTGTGGAAAGATATGAAAAGACTATCTAGAAAAATAATAGTACTCCATAAGTTAAAATGCTGTGACTTAGGCATCCTGGCTGCTGAGAGTTTCCACTAAGTACCTCCCCTGTGCCAGAATTTCTCTCCAGAATGTTGTTTTGTTTTCTGTCAGGTCACCCTGAGTATCTTTGAGCTGGCATCTGCTGCAGGGGTGAGCTGTGACATTGATCCAGCCCTGGTAGCTGCCATTGCCAATCTGAAAGCTGGTAAGATGGAAGAATGGGCAAGGAAGGGCTTGTGCCCTGCTTTTGGGCAGGGGAACACCAATATTAAAGAATTACTTATTTGGGGGCGTGAATTCAGAGGATATAAGCTGGGAGGCAAGACAAAATATAGCCCCTAACTTCCAGAAGATGCTCACAGAGGTTATTTAGGTTTGTTGATGAAACAGAAGAAGGTAGTTCTGAGTGAGAATCTCTTGTTCAGCAAAGTCTCAGGGAACTTATGGTGTGGTTGGGGAAATAAGATTTACACAAATGAATCAATGAGAGAACAGCCCTAGATAGCAGATGGTTTCGCACTAAGTTGTGTGGGATAGCATCCAAGTTCCCCACAGTGATCATGCGCATCTTCCAGTCCTTCACCAGGACCACTATTACACATTCCATTACACATTTCTCTGATTGGCCCATTTGTTGTTATATATACCTAGAAGAGAATTGACCCCAGGGATTGGTACTAAGTTCTTCAGATTTGCCAGGTTCACCCATTTTCTTCTCTCTTGGTCAGTGAGGATTTTTCTCTCCTTCTTGCTTCTCCATCTCTCAAGTTAACAGGTATCCTAGGGTGCATGTCAGCAGAGCCCTTGAGGGTTTTGCTCTGCCGTGGGCAGGGGTGAGACTCTAGGACTTGGGCCTCACTATAACTGGGTACTAATCCTGTCTCCTTCAGTCATTCCTAACTTGCCTACAATACATGCTAAAGCATGTCAGAGACATTTTCTCATGTGATCATGATACTGTGAAGTAGGACCCTTGAAGGAGATAATTCCAGTTTGTTGACCTTACTTTTCCTCATGTCCTGTTCTTTCCCCCCAGATAACTCATCTCCTGAAGAAGAGTACAAGGTGGCATGCCTACTCTTGATCTTTCTTGCTGTTTCCCTCCCACTCCTTGCCACTGACCCTTCTTCCTTCTACAGCATTGAGAAGGATGGTAAGTAAGGTGTGGGTTTGAAGGGCCGATGCTATTCAGGTCTCCACTGGGAAGGGAAGTAGAATAAAGACAAGTTACCTGGAACATACAGACTGCTTTTTGTGGGGAGGGGTTGAGACAGGGTTTTTCTTGTGTAGCCCTGGCTGTCCTGGAACTAACTTAGTAGACCAGAATGGCCTAGAACTCACAGAGATCCATCTACCTCTGCCTCTGGAATGCTGGGATTAAAGGGTGTGCCACCATGCCTGCCAACATACAGACCTTTTTAAAGGCATAAATTTCTGTTTCAAAAGCAGTTAAGAATGATTTGTGCATAAAATTCTATCCCAATAAAATACCATAGGAACATACTTCTTCTAGTCCCCAAATATCATCTAGTTATTTTGGTGTCAGTTAGATTGGTCTAGGATGAAGAGGGAGGGAGGGAGAGAGAGAGAGAGAGAGAGAGAGAGAGAGAGAGAGAGAGAGAGAGAGAGAGAGAGAGAGAGAATTGATTCTTAGTTAGGGCCAGCCTGGGCTGCTCACTTTTCCATTCTCTTTGTGTCCCCTTTTCCCATGCTAACCTAGGCTACAACAACAACATCCACTGTTTGACCAAAGCCATCATACAGGTGTCTGCTGCCCTCTTCACTCTGTACAACAAGAACATTGAAACTCACCTCAAGGAGTTTCTGGTGGTGAGTGGGTCTGGACCATGAAGAGTGGAAGTAGTTTGACTTCAGCTCTAGATAGCTGCTACCACAAAATCTTTGGAGTCTAACTTCCCACATCATTCATACAGGAAGAGTGGAGGCTACTTGTGAAAGGCAGGAACTTTTCTAACTTTCCTGACAGCTGGGACTTTAGCTTCTGTCCAGATACTTGGGGAGATCATTGGACAATGAGAAAATCTGTTAAGTCCGTGACCTCTGGACAGACAAACTTTTGAGGCCTCAGTTTTCTCATTTATAAACTAAAGAGATTAAACTGATCCGTGATTCATCATATTGGTGCACGTCAGAATATCCTAAGGAGCTGCTTAAAATAGATTCCTGATCTCTACCCCAGACCTCCTGAATTAGAATACAGGGTGAGCCCAGCCTTGTGTTTCTAATTTGGTCTCCAAAAGATCAGAGATACATTAAAGTCATAGTGATGCTGAGTTTCATGCTGTCTAAGGGCCTTTCCTACTCTGTACTGTCACTTACCAGTTTTCAAGCTTGGTTTTAAATCATGAAGCAGTAGTGTTCCCAACAAGTGGTCTTGGTCTTAGGATTTTACTTTGGATTGGGTTTCCATGGACTGGAGTTTATAACCAGGCAGTAGATTCTGTGTAGGTGAGGTCCATTTTGTTTGAGAATTTGTTGAAAATGCTTTTAGCCTAAGTTTGACTCCCCGTAAATATCACCATTGATCTTAGTTTTGCCTCTGGAAAAATGTAGAATAAATAATATCCTTCCATAGTTGAAAAGACTCTGGAGTCTTCTACTCTGGATCCCCATGGAGGATTCCTGTTCATACACTCTGATTCATGGTCAATTACCCTCACCCTGCCTGAGCATTCTCAGCAATGGGAAACCTCTTCCTTTGTGAAGCATGGTCCTGAGTTAAGAATTAGGCCTCATTTTTCTCCTACCAGAAAGAAACAACAGATCACATTATTCTTATTCTTATTTTAGGAAATACATCCTTATTCTGGGAAGTACACACCAGGGACAGTAGTCTGGTTAGAGGGTTTCTGTTTAAACAGGGACAGCCATCTAGACAGAATGGGCTCTAACCATCTTCAATATCAAGAGGATTCCCATCAGATCTTTGAGAAAAGGGACCTCACTTCCTTGTTCCCCTTTGCCCTGTTTGTTTGCAAGTTCAGCTTACCTGGGCCTGGGCTGTCACTCACATGTCTACCTACCTCCTTGATCTTCTGGAGGCCTGGCAGTGGAGATGGCAGCTCCTTGGGAGTTGACTGGGGAGAATATTAGGAGCACTGTGTTTGAGGTCCATCCTGGCTTTGGGGTAAAGAGTCAGCTGTAAACAGTCTGATGATGGAAGTATCTAGAGACTGCCAAGGAAAAGATTAATCTCTTGGTGTGCAGCATCACCAGCCTTTGTTCTAGGTTCTTCCCTGCCCCCTGTGTCCTCTTTCCTGGCATTTGATGAGCTCCTGTCTGCACTGGCAGGCTGAGCCATTGGGATTCATTTTAGTTTGCAGGCAGTGTATGTCTCTCACACGTAGGGACCTGACACTTTCCCACCATGAGCCTTCAGGAACAGCCTAGCACTTCTTAATGCTCCTCCTTGATCTTTTCTTAAGTTCCTGTAGCCTGAGGCTGTCCTATTCTGACCTCCATAAAAATCTGTTTCTTTACAAATGCTTCCTCTGCAGGTGGCTTCTGTCAGCCTCTTGCAGCTGGGCCAGGAGACTGACAAGCTCAAAACCAGAAACCGTGAATCCATTTCTCTGCTCATGCGATTGGTATGTATCTGTTTAAGTTGGTCTAGGAATGGAGAGGAGGGCCAGCAGGAGACTCCTTTTTAGGGTCTTTGGGTCCCTGCCATGTCATCAACCAAAAGCATTAACTAAGAATTTAAGTCTGCCCAGATCCTCTGGATCCGTCCTCACATTTTGGTGAACATTCTAGACTTGTGATCCCAGAGCAGAGCATTCAAGGACTTCTAGGCAGAATGGGACCTCTCTGGCCCCTGGCTCATAGATCCCTTGTCTTGCAGTGCTCCTGAGTCTGACTTAGAGAAGGTCAGCAATGCCCTTTTTGGGTGGCTATTCAGTATGCTTTTGGTTTTCTGTGATAGCTTCCTACCAGTGTATTTGTCTTCAAGGTGCTATGAAGAGAATACTGGATAGTACAGAGGGGAATTAAAGAGGTTTGGTTATGGGGCTCCCAGGAAGGAAATAATTTTGGTTATAAGGCAGAGAGCTTGGTAAGGCCATGAATCAAGCAGTTCATGCCATCTCTTCTCCCTGATTCTCAAGCTGTGTGCTTGCTTCTAATCTGGCAGAAAGTTAACTTTTTAAAGTGCTTTCCTTATGACCTGTTTCCCTCTCAGCATATTTACTCACTTTTCTCGTCTGATAGTCTGATTCTCCAGGTTGGGCAGGTAGGGCTTCTGGGTCTGTGTAGAGGCCCTCCCCTAAGTCTCCTCTCACCACCTGTAACCTTCCCATTCCCCTCCTCTGGCCTACTGGGAGAGGATGTACCCTAGCTCATAGCACACACTCAGGATATCTATGGTATTAGAGTTCTCTAAGCTCACCTACATAACTCCTTCCCCAAGACCTGGGGAGGACAGTGGATGTGCCTCTGCTACCCAAGGATATATGGCTGCAGCTGAGATGTGCAGGTAGGGAAGTCTCTCTGTGTGTACAAAACTCCTCAAATGACGTGAGAAAAGAAGAGGGACTGAACTAAAAACCGAGTTTCTCCTTTGTTTTATTAGGATACAGAACTCTGAGGAATCTAAGAATTAAAAAATATTTTTACATTTATTTGTGTGTGTGTATACATGACATGTGATGCATGTGTGGTCAGAGGACAACTTGCAGGAGTTGGTTCTCTTCTACCATGTGAGTCCTGGGGATCAAACTCAGGTCTTCAGGCTTGGCAGCAAGGGCTTTTATTAGCTGAGTTAGCTTTCTGGCCTAAGTCTATGCATTCTTAATTCAAGCTTAGACTTCAATGGAATTACAAAGGTATGTTTTGAAAGTGTGACATAAATAAGTTTATTTATTTACTTAGGGAGAGGTCCTCATGTGTCCCAGGCTGGCCTTGAACTCCATATACAACCAAGGATGACCTTGACCTTCTGGTTCTCCTGCCTCTACCTCTGGAGTACTATTATTAAAGGCATATATCACCATACCCAGTTTATTTCTTATTTTTTTAGTTATGTGGTATGTGGGCTTAGAAATGTAGGGACCCATCCATTCAGACTCTCTTCTTTAAAGACTCAGGCCCTGAATGCCATCTATGTCTCAGTTTCTCCAGCTAGAAAAAGGCCTACCTGTCTTTTATTATGATGGAGGAAAGAATGGGTTTGAGGTGTATATATGCATGTAGGATGTGTGAGGGATCCAGGGAGGAGGATGTAGATGAGGGCAGTGGGAGGCAGATGCTAGAAGTGCAATAGGAAGCACAGCATTTAGAGCCTGCTTGCTTGCTTGCTTGCTTTCTTCCTTCCCTCCCTCCCTCCTCCCTCCTTCCCTC